CCCCAAAACCCCAAAACCCCAAAACCACAAATCGATTATGTAGATTTCTACTAAAAATAATTATTACAAAAAATATAGCTGGTTTTATAAATAATTTATTCTAGGAATACAAATAATATAATGTCTTAGCTTAATAATTCAATCATTTCAACTACAGTGCCAGGATTAAGACTCAACTATAGAGCTTACTATGCAACTTCTGAGGATCCAGAATACCCTGCCTAGCTTATTTAAGTAGATTATTCAAAAGATGAGGAGTACTAGAGAACAGCGAATGGTTGGCAAACTAAAAAGTTCTGCAGTTATCCTCAAGAAATAATCGTCCAAATTATGAGTCCAATGAGAGTAAAACAAATCTAAATTCTCTCGCATTAGTATAAAATATCTTCAAGGATAGAGGTTTATTACTATTTCCCACCAAAGTCAATTTAAACTGAGAATTAGATATAGAATAACAAAGAAATCTTAAACAGCGAGAACTACATGAGAATAGGTTACTTTTCGTTTAATGAAAACTCGAGATCTGAGTTCTAAGCTAGAGAAATGAAAACATTACATGTTGATTTTCTAGCTTAGTATATAAAGATGGTTATTTATCAGCCATATGAGAATAGGCTTAATTTGTTTCAATAGGTCGGGATTATCTCAATGTCAATGATAGGAGAACCGATTGATGGTTTTGATCAAACTCAAGGTTATGATAAATTTAGAGATGGGGCCTATCATTTTCCTACTCCAAATGTTGATGCTAGTAGATAAAAGTACTTGAGTGTAGCTACAGTCAAAGACTCAGAATTGGATCAGATGTTTCAAGATAAGATTAACCAATTGAAAGAGTAGAGAGATAAAGCAGCTGATGCAGATGACTATGATAGAGCTAGATTTCTAAGAGAGGCAAGTGATAAAGTCAAAGAATATGGTGTTAAGATATTATAGCTTATGCAACTAAAAAGAGTAGCAGTCGAAAATGAAGATTATGAAACAGCCAAAAAAATAAAACTGGAAATGGATAGAATCAGATAAGCGATTTCACTGCTAGATCCTGAAAAAGCTAACCCTTCTTCTCTTGCAACAGTCGAATTAAAGTAGCATTTAACTGATTCATCAAATAAACTAGGTCAGTATCTGCAAAGGAAGCCTATTACTCCTATTTAATTTGAGGAGTCACTCAAAGAATTTGAAGTGAAAGTTAGAGAAGAAACGAAGTCAAATGCCTCATTCATCACAGCCAAAAATCCTATTATAGAAGAATTCATACCAAAGCCATAGATTAGGTATGAAGATTAAGTTATCCCAACAATAAAAAACGGATAAAAGAAAGATATTGAAGATGAAATTCAGGAGTATGAGAGGTAATACGGATCAATAAAAGACTTTGACAGAAACTTGTAAAGAAGCGCTTTAAGTATAGAAGAGGTAGATGAGAAAACTTAGCTAGAGTAGGCTTCTAAACTGGTATAATTCTTTGACAAGCAACTAGTATTAAAACTATCTGCACCTTAGTGGTAACAAAGAGACCAGGCCTTGATGGATATTATATAGAATATGAAGACATAAATGGGTTAAGAGGGTTATTAGTAAGCCTACAACTCACTTCTTACAATGTGCATGGATGAAAAGATTTAGCAGATTATTGTGACTACTGTAGATCTGATAGATAATATCCTGATGATAAATAAGAACTTTAAATTTGAGAATCATGAGAGAGTTCTAGCGTATCTTATGGATAAGTTACCTGATCAAAAGTTGGGAAAAAAATCTGAAGATATCTTATTTAAGTATTTGGACTCTCATAAATAAGACTACTTTGAAATAATTGCGTTTATTGTCAGTAAGAACTCTAATTTCAATGTCTAGACTCAGAATTCTCATAAATTAGTCTCTAAAAAGTTGTAAATACTATATAATATGACAGTAGATATGGACTAGTATACATAGTTCATGGGCTAAAGTGCCAGTCCTCTTAAAAGTTCAAATAAGCTATCTTCATCAGCTTAAATTTAGCAAAGACTTGACTACCCCTACCATGAAGTATTCTAGAAGCTTTTGACTTCAATTGATCATCCATAATAAGATATTAGGCAGATATCACTAAAAATAGTCTAAGAGATTTACCAGAAGCAAGGATTTGATAAGATATAAGATTTCATCTCAAGATTATCGAATAAAGTATTAATCAATCTGGTTAAGCTAATCCCAGAAGCAGAACCTTATTTGAGAATGAACGATGATAGAATGAGAGCTGCTAACAATACCAACTCTTATGGCGGAGGTGGATCTTTCGGCTGGGCTCCAAACCTTCAGTCCACTGCTTAAAAGCCTTAAACTTCACACAAATAGCCACCAAAAAAGAGTAATATCAATAAAAAGGATTAATCGCCTGAAAAGTAGAAAAAGAAGGTTATGTTTAAAGATCATAAAGAAAAAGAAAAAGTAAAAAAATCAGCAGTCTAAGCTAAATGTTAATTCTGTGGATTAGTTGACAAAGAATTTGGAGATGATGAAAAGTTAGATGCGCATTATCTTAATTCTTGTTTGATGCTGACAAATTGTCCAGGTTGCACCTAAATTATTGAAATTTCAGCTGTAAATTCTCATCTCTTAAAGGAATGTTCGGAAAAAGCATAATACAAGTAGTGTCCCTAGTGTAAAGAGCCACATCCGAAAGATGACATAGAAGCTCATAAGTTATAAGACAGTCCTGGCTGTCATGCTCCAAAACCTACAAGCCAGGCTAATAGATGCCCATTGTGCCATAGAGATATAGGACCATTAGAAAAAGGCTGGAAAGATCACTTGCTCTCTAAATAATGTCCTAAAAATGGTAGAAATGATGTTCTAGATTGATAATATCAGAAGTAATAGAATCAAAATAAAGATGATAAACTTAAGATTTTAATTTCATAACTTTATTTGATTTCTAGCAAGTATATCCTCAAGGGGTTTTGGGGTTTTGGGG